AGCTGCCTCCGAGGAGGCAGGGTCAGCCCGTGGTGCTGCGGGCAAGACAAGCGCGTCCTGCCAGGGTAGTGCAGGGGATGAAGGCTTCACCCGTGGCTGAAGTGTGCTGCTTGGCTCTGTCTGCAGGGGAGTTAGAAAATACGTTGTGGAATTGGCAAAGCTTAACCCAGACCTAGGTCCAACACAAATGGAAGCAGGCTGTTGTAAAATCACAGCTGTTTCCTCTCTGCCGCTGCATGTGAATGCCGTTGCTTTGGAAGAAGCCTTCTCCCTGGTCCCTGCTATCTGCAGCACTTTTCCTATTTTCCACCACCACACCGCGTCTCCATGTCGTGTTTGGTTGCCTGTTTTTCTGAACTGCAGCCACTGCACGCGTGATGTGCCTCGGCTCTAGGTTCATAGTTGTCTTCCTGTCAGTTTACCCTTGTTTATTCTGAAGTTTTGTATATTTGAGATTAACCTAATGTCACAACATGATTTAGTATTGTCAGTAGACCCCAAATTTCACCTGTAGTGTGAAAATCGTAAGGGTGAAGTACCATCTGTCCACAGCTGAGGCCTGAGACACAGTTCTCAGTACAGAATATTCAAAATGTGCAGTGTTTTGTTGGTTTATTTTTTTAAGACTACTCGTCCTTGGTTCTTCTCTGATGCTCACAGGTCTTTCCTCACTGTTGGAAGGAAGAGCCTGCTGTCCCAGTGTCAGGACAGGAATGCAGAGTCCTTAACAGCAGCATTCCAAGACTAGTTTTCAGGCTTTTTACCATATGTCTGCAGTGGTAATGTTTCAAGGCTGTGGAATCTGCCTAAACCTATACCTGAGGTGTAGCTTAGGCAGGAAATGAATTTCCACAGCTAATTTCCCGCCTCTTTAGGAAGGAGGAACTTGCGATGTGTTGTGTATGATCAGGCTCTGCTCAAGGTTTCTTCACTGGTTTTGGTTCCTCAAAAAAAAAAAAAATTAACCTAATATCCTTTTTTTTTTGTGCTCCAGCTTGTGACACTGCAGAAGATGCTGCACTGTTGCTGTGCAGACTCCCTATGTGATTTTTCTTCTCTCTTCCCTTATGTAGTTTGCATATCAGTAAAAGTAATTAATGGCATTAGTATTTATAGTTCTCTGTGGCTGTTTGAGAAGAACGAGGCAGCTGGGACTTGTGGCCAATTGTTTCAAGCTTTCTGCAGGCATGGACAGGGAATGCTGTATGATTTCAGTTTGTTTCACGTTTTAGAGATTATCTTCAGTGATGAGAGCTAGAGTTTTAAATTAATTGGAGTTTAAAACGTCAGGCTTGTCCTTTTTTGCCTTTAAATTCTGCATCTTTGACTTGTTGTGAACTGGCTTAGCTTGAACACAGCTAAAGGCATTTTGGCAGGCCATCCTTCTGTTAATTTTATGATACACTCTAATTTTGAGGGCTTGATAAAGAATATTTGTATGAATGCTGGTTTTGATGCTCTTGCGCTTTTCATGCATGTTTTCCCTGCCTCTGTGACATTGCTCTTTGTACAGCTGAGGGTGAAGTATATAGGCAAAGTGAATGAAGGAGCAAAGACCTGAAATGAAAGTAGGGGTGATGGTGTGGCTGATGTGTCTGATGCCAACGGGTGTTTCTTGGTGAAGATGCATTTCCTGTAAAGTAGTTCCTGTTCTGTCACCTGGGAGTAGGGAAGGAGATACTGCTTGTAACAGCCACTACTGCGACTGCCAGGAGGAGTACACAAAGTATGTGAAGGGAGCAAGAAGCTGTACAGATTGCATAAAGCAGCTGCAGATGCCACCTTGCTAGACTTGGCTGAAGAAACTGGGGCTTCCCTGTTATCCCTAAAGCTCTGAAAATGCTTGGATTTGAATCATCTGCCAGTGACTGCTCCTTTCACAGGCCCTTCTCTCTTGCTGCTGACATGTCAGATCCTGCTGTTAGAATTTGGGGTTACCTACTGCTTTTTTTGCCAACCATTTAAAATTTGCCATTTTCTCTGTCCATAATCTGCTCGTTCAGCAGCTTGAAAAGGCTGACCTCAGCACTGCTCTTGTTTGTCACTGTCGTTTCAAAGGGTCTTCTGGAGTTCTGCATTTTTCACATACCAGTTTTTGGTTTCTCTGATCCATTATGAGTTTATGAAGAATTACCTGTACTCACCAAATCTAACCTGGTGCAAATTGATCCTGTAACTGACTCTAAACCAAAGAATGGGCAAGGATATTTCTCTTTGCTATTAAACCACAGGCTTGAGACTGATGTGCACAGTTCAGACTGACTAAACCACTTCAGAAACATTTAGATGAATCTGTTCTGTGCCATTTGTGGAGTGAGGCTCTTTTGGATTATAAGCCAAATATAACAATCTAGAAGCAAACTCTCCAAAATAGTTTCCAGACTTGAAATCTATGAGATATCACCTATGCATCTCTGAAAGCATCTCAAATACAATTATGTTGCTACCCAAACCTAAACTGTACAGCAGAGTACGTGCAGAGGTGAACCTGGGCAAGTCGCTTGTTCGTGAGTCCGTGCTGCTGGCTGAAATTCAGGATGTAACGCAACACGTTGCAAAGCTTAGTTGAGGATGTTTTCTAGGAGGGTGCTAAGATGCTGGTCCATCCTTAAGTTCAGCCTTCTTCGTGGTCTTCACTAGAATTCTATCTTCCCTCCAGTTTTGAGCAGCGGAAGTGTTGTAGTTGAGACAGTGTAATACTCAGATATAAGTTCTCTAATTGCAAGGAAGATGAAAAAGAGGTTTGCTTTTGGAGTGGAAAAAGTTGTGATTGAAATTTATTTTGATAGGTTTCTTTGGAAATGTTTTGGAAACTCCACTTTGCTGAGAAAAAATGGAAATCTTTTTAAGACTTTTGCCAAAGCATAAGGGTTTGCAATTCCATGTATCTGTTCAAAGTAACTTTTGCTGAAACCTCGCATCTCTGTCTGCTTGGAACTTCACAGAGGGCTTATTGTTCTAACAACTGGGATAAGCACTAAAGTGCACATGGCTATTAGAAAAGGCTCATTTACGATCATTTTTAAATGCTGTCATTTTGTGGGACATACAGCTCTTCAAGGGGGGAAGGGCATCCTTCTGTGTCTCTGAGAAGCTACGTTTCATCAGATTTAGCTGCTCAAACCAGAAAGCGTGGGCACTTGTAAAACACATGCAGGTCACTGGTAGTGGAGCTGTAACGTGTAGGTGCAGGCTTTACCTATTACTCTGATAGAATAAAAACGTCCCTTAGTTATACTTTACTTAAAGCCTTTTAGATTGTCTAAACCTATGTGTAAAATCAATGACTATTGCAAAGTATTGGTGGCAGTCAGGGACTACTCATATTGCAAGGGGGTGATTGCCTTCATCTTACTGAGATTCTTTTATTAAAAGCTAGCACTGGGCTCCTTTCACTTTTGAGATACTAGCAAGTGGTGTCTGTGAGGACTTTTATAGGAGGGGATTCTAGATAGGTGGGGGCAGGTGAAAAAGGCAAAAGGCTCTGCTTTTGTTTTAATTTCCCTTTATTTTTTTCTGGGGACTTAATCTGACTGAAATGCAATTGGTTCTTTTGTTGGTCAAGCAGAGGAATCAGAAAATGACTGAAAAATACCCAAACAGCCACTGTAAAAAAGCAAGGAGGAGAAACACCCCCTTTTTATGAGCTATTTGTAACAAAAACAAATGCTGCAGCTCATCACTGCAATTTTGGTCCAGAATCCTCAAAAGTTTTTTTGATTCCTTGGTGAAAGTAATAGAATTAGGCAGCAAAATATTTTCAGGGATCTGATTCAAAGTGCCTAGTTAATCTCGGTACGGAGAGGCAAATACATAAAAGTTTCTTTTCTTCAGTAATGAAGTTGTTTGTCTTCAGCAATTAAAATACTGAGATGTTTGGTTTCTGTCAGTTTATCTTAGCATATGAAGTGTGTTTATCTTAGCATACACCTACAAAGCAAGAAGCCTCATCATCTCTTTCTTTTCTCTTGAGGTCATGAAACGCGTACGCACAGAACAGATTCAGATGGCAGTGTCCTGCTACCTCAAGCGCCGTCAGTATGTGGACTCAGAAGGTCCCCTAAAACAAGGGCTGAGGCTGTGTCAGACTGCTGAAGAGATGGCAGCTAATCTCACAGGTAAGGCTGTTGTATTTTCTACACATGCTTCTTGCGGAGTTGTGACGAGTGTACATACGTACATTGGTAACTGTGTGAATTTGTCTGTGTGTATGGACAGCTCTCCTTTTGAAATAAATTTCTCAGTGTGAAGCTGGAGTAAGATAGGAACTTCTGAAGAATAAAAATATGTATGAAGGTGTAACCAGGTGAGATTCATGGTCGGTGAAACAGCAGCTAAAACAGGAGCATAGGAAGGGTATATATCAGTGTAGTGGAAGATGCTTATGTTGTATCCCAAAGAACATGAAGTCTGTTGAGTAGTGGTGCTTTGGGATGAAGGTGAGAAGAACCTAGATGAGGAATTAAGTGGAAGCATGAAAATCTGTTGCACCTGTGTACTCCAGGAGAGTTATGTCATGTGAAACAGCAGTGACACAAGCTGGTTTCTTTCTCTGCTGTGTCTTGGAAAAAAAACTAACAATAAACAAAAAAACCTTCAGTGGGTGAGATGGTTTATTTCCCTGCATGCCCTTCCTCCTCTTTCTTAAAGGCTTTTGAATCCTGCTATACTACTTGCTTTTCAAATCGTGTCTGCAACAGTCTGCATTCTATTATTTTTGTTACAGCAAACTATCTTACTGCATGAGCATGTACGAATGAAAGTATGCAAGCAATGTGGAGGTTATAAAGATCAAATTTAATTGTAAAACTGATGGAAAATACTGGGCTGACCTTTGAGTGAAAATGCAAGGAGGAAGCGTTTTTGTAAATGAAACTGCTTAGGTTGTGACGCTATCCCAGGCTAAGAGTGGTGGAGACCTTAATTACTGGTGATACAACTTGATTTGACAAAGCATTAGTTGCTGTATAACTCTGTGCTTGTAACTAGGTAAGATTGGATGCCAAAATAGCTCTTCCCACCTCTATTTTGCCATAGTTATAATCCAAGGATGAGTGACTGGTGAGTAAATGTTCAGTCTGACTTTCTCAGGGGCCTGAAGGAAATTGGGTAATATTTTGTTATTACAAGTGACTTACATCTTCTTAGTACTTTTCATTTCCTTGTTGTTGTCAGAGTAACTATCGGAAGTTTGTTGTAACTCCCTGAAATAATTTTGGGGGAAATGGGGGAGGAATGAAACCAAAGTAAAATGCTGAATTATTTTTGATGGGAGATTTTATGGGAGAAGTGGGTAAAAGGGCAGTGTTGAAACAAGACTAGAACTTGGAGCGAACCATGCCAGGAAGACACAGGAGTATCTGAAATAGGAGAGATGAATTGGATTACAAGCCCTCGCGTTTGCATATGGCATCATCCAGGAAAAAACAGGTTTCAGGAAAGAGAGTGAATGAGTGTCTGATTGGGTTTTGTCTTTTTACTAATCTTCCACCAAATGTTATTACTAAATTTCTTACTAGTCTGTGTGCTCTTGCCAGTGCAAGAGTTTTGTGGCTGGTGATTCAGAACTTAGTCATCAGTTTTCATTAGAACTGAAAATGGTCTGCTCTCATGTATTAAGCTGTGTACTACTTGTCAGACATGCTCATAGTAAGCTGTCAGTATGCTGCAGTTCCATGAATAACTGTTGAAAAAGAAAATCCCAGCTTGTACTTACTTTGAAAACAGAGGCTGAAAATACTTTCTGCTGTGGTCATCTTAGTTTTGCAGACTGAATGAAAACTGACCTGATTTTAAAGCCTGCATTGCTTTATTTCAGGGAAACAAAAGACAGGCCATCATATTTTTTGTTTTTCTTTGCTTTTACAATAGGTGACAGTGAAAACTGTCACTAAACATTGTTGAGTTACTATAAATGCGTGCATGCAGTTTACTTTCTCATGCTGAATATTGATTATGCTGAATTTTGATTCCAAATAGCAGAGTTTTTTATTTTAGCCACTAAGTAATACCAGTATGTGGGCCTCAAGTTCTTACCAGCTTTCAGTTTCTGAAGCAGCCAGGCTGTAGAAAGAAAGTGTGGTGTATCTGCATCTTTTAACAGGTTGTATTTGTTTATTTCTAAACTGATCAGAAAGAAGATAGGGTACTAGTGCTGGAATCTGTATTTTTTCTTTCCCATGAGTGGATGATGAGCGCAGCCCTGCTCTCTGCTTCCAAAGGTAAATTCAGCTTGCCCTAGAGAGTTGGTAAACATACTTCCCATTTTTCCATAAGCTCCAGGAAGACAGAGTGTCTTACCAGAGAGAGTGGAAGAGAAAGGGGAGAACTGCAACAGGCTGCCTGTACACCATGTGGTGATCTCTTTCTAATTAGCAGCATTGAGATGAGCTGGAGGCTGGCCTATCTCTCTTTAGCATGTGAACATTTGATGATGTTGTTTATAGACTTCCAGGGCTGTCAGAGTTGTGGCTGTGTGCATAAGCCAAGTGCTGGAACAAAAAGCGATCAATAGGGAATAGGAAGGCAAAGAGAGAGGATGGAAAGCAGTGGGGGGCAGGGGAGACTGAAAGAAGTTGAAGTGAGAGTAATGAAAACAGGTTTTGTGGAGGGGAGAATAGTTACAGATATTTGAAAATGTAGGAAAGGAAACCAGTGAAACTGTTTGCCTTTTCATGCTCTTAGAGGAGCAGACAAAGAAACACATGGGTTATCATTCTGTAACTTGTGTTTCTAATCACTAGTATTTGTGTATGCTTAGGTTATGTTGGTGGGTGTCTGTAAACTTGCACAAAGTCCCCTGTCGGATTCTGAGAGGTCAGCAGGAGAGCAAAAGTTTGGTGCCAGAGCAGAAGCCAATTCCATTTCTAAATAGTCCAGAACCACTTTTACCAGCATTGATACTGGTTCTGAAGATCAGTGTAACACCATTGCAGGAGACCATAAAAACTGGGGTTGTGGTCAGATACCAGCTGCCCTTTAACCTAAAATCCTCAAGGAGGAGGACACATTCTGATTAAAAACTACTAAGTGTTTGCTTAGAGATTCAGTGTGATTTCACCATCATCTCCGGGAGACTAGTAAATGATAATGATTGTCATTTATTGGAAATACCAATGACTGGGACAAGGAATTTGAGACTCTCAGGTAGTGCTACTGCAGACCTCCTGTCCATGATTGTTGGTGGGTCCTGCTGTGAAAGAAACTTTTTTTGGAGGAAGTCGTAGATTGCTTTCCTCATCTTTTCTGAGTGCACAGTAGTAAAACCACCGAGCATCTTGTAGAACTGTTAAGTCATCCGTGATGGTATTACTCGGAATTTCTTGGAAACGTAAGGTTGTATTTGAAAACTTAGAAGTATATTCTTGGGAAAGCAGGTGAGTAGCTGAGATTTTTAAGTTTGGCTTTTTTTAAGTTTTCAGTATACTTTCTCATTCACAGTCTGGCTAGGTTGTTAATGCCATGTTTAGATGCTTCAGACTATGTCACCCCTGGACGGTTAGAAAGGTGAAAATTCATATGACGACTGCATTATCTTGGATTTCATGAGAAGCTTTGTTTCCGGACACACATGCGAAACTCCTTAAATCCCTGTTTAATTATTACTTATTTTATTTCACAGTCCAATCTGAATCTGGTTGTGCCAACGTGGTGTCTGCAGCTCCCTGCCTGGCGGAGCCACAGCAATATGAAGTACAATTTGGACGATTACGCAATTTTCTCACAGGTAAATACCAGGAAGCAAAGCAAGAGGAAAGTAGATGATTTTTTTATCGGTTTAATGAGTAAAGGACAATATAATAAAACTTAGACTCATGTCTCGAACAATCTTGATTTCTAGTTGTGAGATTTCAGGTAGTACAATTAGAAATATTTGTTATTGGTGTTGTTTTTGTCTGAGTGTTTGAGTACCTTTGGCTTTTGTAGATAGCTGACTGTTTGCCCTTCCTTATTTGGCCTTTGTAGGTCTTCTATATATACAGGACAAGAAGGAAGATTAGAGTGCTTTATGTGAGAGGCAGGTAACTTAGAAGTGAATGTAGTCCTCTCTGTCTACTAGTTTAGGTTCTTAATTTTATTCATAGTTGGCTTATTTTTATGATGGTCTAGATTTTTAAGGGAGAATGTTCCCTTAAATTTATCTGTACTGGCTTGGAGACTGGAGGTATATGATAGAAAGTAAAAAAAAAAAAAAATCCTCCTTCTGTAGTGTGATGCAGAAGACAACAATAATTTTTCTTTTTTTAATATAACTTTTTAATAATAATAAAACTAAAGGTACTCCTGGGAATATCCTTATTTCTTCTAATAGTCCTAAATGTGGGAAGAAGAAAGGAGATAGGATTTTTAAAGAATAGCCCCAAGGAAAGCCACTTCACCCGCCTTTGGGCGTATCTGCATTTGTCCAGTGTAAGGATTTGATCCCAGTGTGTATAATGCTGTGATTAATATTCCTGATAATCGTTGAAGGGAAAGGGGAGGAGGCAGGCAGGAAGACAGAGGCAGAAAATAGTGAAGTCTTCGCCTTGCCACCTAGAGCAGTTTAACACTTTAGTATTGGAGGTAAATCCTTACGGTTTAATAGATTTTTAAGAAGTATGATTGCTCTGCTTAGTGGCTTAAATATCACTTGGGGAAGTGCTAGGCATGGTTTTGGTGCTCAGGTCAAGTGTTTTCATGATTTTTGTCCATGTTGCTCAGATTTCTTACAACATGAACTGCTTCTGTTTGTGCAAGGGAGTAACTTCCCAGCCAGCTGCAGGGCACAGCAGGACACTTCCATGTCTGTGATGCCTGAGGAGTGGGCAGGGGACTAGGACCACTGAATAAACTAGGAATTCTTCTAGAGGTCTCTAATTCAACCAGCTGCTCAAAGCAGGGCAAAACTGGAGTTTGATCACATTGCGCAGGACCTTGTCCAGCCAAATTTTGAAAATCAGAAAGTATGGAGGTTGCTCTGCACCTCCAGGCCCCAGCTGCAGGGCTCAGTGATTTGGTGAGCATTTCCCTTGCAGCAGCTTGCCTGTCATCCTTTCACTGAGCACCTCTGAGAAGAGGCTGGCTCCTTTTCTTCCATAATGTCCCACTGGGTACTGCAGCCAGCAGTTGGATACCCCCTTGTTCTTCTCCAGGCTAGACAGTCCCAGTTCCTGTAACCTCTTTTCCTATGTTCCTGGGTGAGCATTTTCTTTATTCCCATTTCTGGTGACTTCCCATCTCTACCCTTTCTCCCCCCACTGCAGAGTGGGGTCCTTCCCCATGTTACATTTCTAGAAACAAGCACCTGCTGCTGCTTAGAGTTTTTACTACACACAGACCACTGGTTTCACTAGCTTTGGCCCAGTTTCAGTGGGACAGAAATGAAAATGATGCCTAGGTACGCAAATACATATATATACCACACACTCTGTAGTTGCTCACCTAGAAATGGGAGAGAGGCACAATGTGGACTAGAGAAAGTCTGAAGGAGTGCTCAACAGGAGAGGAAAAATAACTTAATGGAAGGGGGAAGAAAAGAATGTGCATTGGTGAGTGGCAGGAGGGAAGTTCAAGTTGAAAAGCAGCAATGCTGTTTGAAGACCAGCAGTGCTGTTCGAGGATCAGCAGTGCCTATTTTGTTCCAGTAATTTGGACCCTGTGATCCTCTGGTAGCTTGCTGTAGTGGCTCTGTATTTTGCCATGGTGTTCTGTGGCAGAGCTCCACTCCTTACAGCAGCAGCCAACTGAATCTGGGAGGGAGACAGCCCCAAGAAGCTGGTGACAGATGAGTCTCTGCAAGGTACAGCACAACCTCATCGGCAGTTTGAACACTGTGTACTAGGAATTACTGCTGGGGTTTGCACATGAGCAGGCACAGAAATAAAACAAGAGCACACAGCATATTGCGGTACATTTTGCAAACTAGCTTCCTTTCTCCTTGAGACAAATCAGTTCCATCCAAAGCTCCACGTGCAAGTTTTATTGAACTTGAGTAGGGAAAAAGCCACCAAAGTTCAGGCCCACACAAGCTAAATAAATAATTTTGTTAAATACTATTTTAAATATAATGAGTAAATTTTGAAGTCTATTTATTGCAGTAAACAGAGGGCACAGATGTTCTTCTTAAATAAAGAGGAGAAAATTTCAGTTCTCATATATTTTATGAGGTGGTATTTTAATAGCTGGCCCATGCCTAAAAAGGGTTTTGAAATCTTTGCATTTTGTTCCGACAAGGTCCCTCAGAGCCTTCAGAGATTTCCCTTGAAAATCTCTGTTCAGATCTGTAGTAGGTCCTGTGTATTTCCTTTAGGTGACAGAGCTTCATTTAGATGCACCAACAAAAGTCTCCTCTTGCTTGCTCTCTGATGCCACTGTCAAGGTTTCTTGCAGCAGTTGTCCTTGCTCTGTTTTATACCCAGTGGAAAATGATTGAGAAATCATTCACAGTTTGTTGCTGTTTTTTATATAGATTCAGATTCTCAGCACAGCCATGAAGTGATGCCTCTTCTGTATCCCCTCTTCGTCTACCTCCATCTGAATATGGTCCAGAATGGCCTAAAAAGCACAGTGGACAGTTTTTACAGCCGCTTCCATGGCATGTTCTTGCAGAATGCCAGCCAGAAGGATATCATTGAGCAGTTGCAGACTACCATGACTATTCAAGATATCCTGTCCAACTTGAAGCTCCGGGCTTTTCTGGACAACAAGTATGTCATCCGCCTTCAAGAGGACAGCTACAACTACCTTCTTCGCTACCTCCAAAGTGACAACAACAATGCCCTGTGCAAAGTCCTGACCTTGCACATTCACCTGGATGTGCAGCCCGCCAAGAGGACTGACTACCAGCTCTATGCTGGTGGGAGCTCCTCACGCAACGAGAGCAATGGCCTGGAACCCAGTGACATGCCAGCTTCCATTCTGCAGAACGAGGCAGCACTGGATTTACTGCAGGACAGCATCAAACGTGTCAAGGATGGGCCCCCTTCCTTAACGACCATCTGTTTCTATGCCTTCTATAACACAGAGCAGTTGCTGAACACTGCAGAGATTTCACCAAACAGCAAGCTGCTGGCTGCTGGGTTCGATAATTCGTGTGTGAAGCTGTGGAGCCTGCGTTCCAGGAAGCTAAAATCTGAGCCCCACCTCGCTGATGTGTCCCGCATCCATCTGGCTTGTGACATCCTGGATGAGGAGGTCTGAATACCTTTCCCTGTTCCCCCCCGCTCTGCCCTTTCTGCTTTAGGCATGCATTGTGGAATATCTAGTGATGTTTCCAGGGACTGTAGGGCTGTTCCACAGCCTGTCTACCTCGACAAACAAATCTTGTAGCCTACTCTTGTCCTTGTTCTTCCCTGTGGTGGTTGTAAATGGTGCACTGAGGTGCAGTGAGTTTGTGCTCGGGTCATAGTTTGCTAGTCCTAGGTGCCGATCTCTCTCCTCCAGCTGTCCTTGAACAGACAGCGGTACACAGGCAGCCTGGTACGGAGAAGGCTTCCTTCCCTGAGGAGTGTAGAGCCTTCTTGTGGATGGGAAGATAGAACAAGGACATGCGGGCAGTAAAAACACATTGTGGTGAATGAAAGTTAGAAAGAAAGAAGCTCAGAACCACCAGTCAGAAGGGTGGATAGAAGGGAGGAGATGAAGGAAGAGGAAAATAAAGACAGAGTAAGGAAGGAGCCAAAGGGGGCTGGTCTGAGGCCTGAGGAAGGAGGGATGCCTAAGTGCAAAACTGAATTTCAGTTATCACTTTATCCAGAGGTGAAGAGTTAGCATGGAAAAATTATGTGAAATGTCTCTGTTGGGGAATCTGCAGTGTAGAAACTGCAGAGGCTTCCCACTCTGGAGCACTGGAGACAAAGGCAGGGCTGTGTATGCCTTCACATGCCAGGCTAGATGGCATCTTCTAGTTTACTGGGGTGTTTTTTTCCCCTTCTAGTCACACCCTTCCTCTCCCCTCTTGCCGTAGCTGCCCACGGTGCATCTTATATCTGGTTAGAGATCAGAATTTCTGACTCTCCCTTTGTTTAATCACACCCTTTTGGGGGGGGGTTAGCACCATCCTTTTTTCCACTGTTGTTCTTACAAAAAATACCCAGTGGCAGGGTTCTGTTTATTTTGGAAGAGTGTGGAGAGCTTGCAGTATGGAGACATCTATGGTTAGGGATTCCTTTGTTAATCAGCTTGAGGAGGAGAGGCAGGCATCCAGGTGAGATAGCTAACTGCTCCCCAGGTTAACCCTTTCAGCAGAGTGAGCGGGTGAGTGGGTCAGACTAGCCCAAGATGGAACTATGGACTTGTTTTCATTATAGCTGCAAGAGTTCACAGGACACGTGAGTAATATTGCCTGTCATGGAAACCAGGTGTCAATAACTGAAACAGAAAATTTCTCTGGTAAATCAGCAGGTCACCTCCTCTGGCTCCAGACTACAGAAAATCGAGATACTGACAGGTTATCAGGAGTGCCTGTTAGCTTTTTTTGGCTCATAGATAGATACTTGAATATTGTATGTGTATTATGAAACAGCCGTGGAAGCTCTTGCTGGCTGTTTTAATGTGTTGTGTATCTTGCAGTATTAGTGCATAGGTCTAAACCCAAAAACTGGTCAAAGACCAGCAGAGATCAAAGTCATCATTGCCTTGAAAAACTCCCATTACTGACAAAAATAGTGACCTGATCAGGAGTTCAGAATTAAGGGAGGACCCCAGCCTCAACAGATTGCTGGTTATGTTTCCCAAATGCAAATGAAAGCCTGTTGACCATAAAGGAAATAAATTCCAGTGTCTGGGAGTGTCGTGGTTTAAGCAGACAGGGAGTCCTAAGTGAAAATACACAAGGACCTACAGAGTTGCAGGTGGGAACAGACCAGCACCCTCTTGGGTTCCACGGCAGATGCCAAGACAGACCAAACAAGACCATCCTTACTGGGCTGCAGTCATCATTCATGCAGCTCAGTCAGACAGGGGCTGTGTTTCAGACTGTCATTGCAGTCTGATCAGCAGCAATTCACAGCCATAAACCTGATGAAAACTGTGACAAAGAACAGAAATTCTGCATGTGCTTTGATACTGCTTCAGTGTATTCTATCAAATAACTTGTGAGGAGATTAAACTTGGCTGGGTTTTGTAAGGTTTCTGAGTTTTCTTTCTTTTGGTTGATTTCTGTATTCTGTAAATAGCTTTGGATACTGTGTTTAAATAGAAGTGCCTGAAATAATCATCAGCTTGATTTCTGATTTGCTGCAAGCAAATAGGTCCTTCCTATGAAGATACAGAAGTCTAAAACTGTGTGAGTTTTGGTAGATCTTGTTCAGGATGGCAGTAAAGCTATACTAGTGGGTTTGTTATCTCTTTGTGTGTATATATATATAA